TTCATCTGGGGGTTTGTTGGCCAGAATAGTGGCATCACAGGCTCTTTAATGTCCACAACAACTTGCATTTACACAGTGCCCTTCATGGGCTGTATCTCGGAGTGCTTAACAGTGGCGGAGTCTAATGCTGAGCCGGGGAGAGCGGGGGGTGAGTGAAAGCATGGTTGAAGAGGAAGGTATTCAGTTGGAATCCAAAAGAAAGGAGGAGGCGAGGCGGAGGGACTGAGGGAGAGAGTTCCAAAGCTTCGGGGCGTAGTGGCTGAAAGCACAGCTGCCGAGGGTGGAGCGGAGGGGACGAGGGACAAGCAGGAGGCCGGAGCTCCCCGAGTGGAGTCAGTGTAGTGGAGAGTAAGCAGGTCGGAGAGGTAAGGAGATGCCAAGACGTGAAGGGAATTTCTGGGGCGCGCGTTTGAATTGTTTTGACTTTGTTCTTTGTTCCTGCAGGAGGCTTGGTTGAGGATGAATGAAGTTGCTGTGAAAGGCTGGCCAGGCGAGGGTGAGAAAGGACTCCAGCCTGTGGACACAGTCATTCCTTATAAAACCATCACACTCTCTGGCAAGCCAAACTCCTCAGTGCCGTTTAACATTGAAGAGCTGGTACAAAGTGCATCACTCCTGTTAATGTCTGCTCGGCTCCCTGTGGAAGGATTCTCTCTAAACTATCACAGTGATGGATCTGATATGATCCCTGCCAGCCCAGGGGCAGCTCAGGGGGGAGTGGGCAGGTTTAACACTGTAATTGTGTCGTTAATTACCAGGTCCCCATTACATCCAAACCTGCCCCCCACCCATACCATCCCATTAATCACTAAATAAATGAATTATGCCCCCTACCTCCACCCAGACTCATTGAGGGGTGGTCAGAGATTAGGCCTTTCAATGCCTCCTCACACCTGCTTTCTCGCTCTGTCAGTACCTGTTGACAGCTCTGTCTCAGGGTCTATCTGATGCTCATTGACTGTTAGCCTCCGAGAGCTTTTTCCGATGGGCTAATGGTATCTTCACCTGTCGTGAGTTAGAGAGGCAGAGAAACATCCTACCCCTGTTAATCTGCAAGCTAAAGCCCTAACGGGTTGGGTGGTCCTAGCTGGACAAGCAGTGGGAAAGCCAGATAGTGCTCTCAATGACAGGCTATGTGAGGGGAGCCTTTCAGTTCCTGGGGACATCCTCCTGATACGAAAGGCTCTGTATAAATGCAATTTGTTGTTGGTGGTGGTAAGAATTGGAATGATGGGCGTGTGTGTCTGTGTGTGAAAAGGTGTGTAGGAGTGGGGCGTGTGAGCTCACTATTTTCCAGGGTGAGAGTGTGAGTTTCTAAGCAAGTTGTGGCCCGATCAGCACTTTGGTCAGTGTTTCTACCAACACCCAAACCTGGACTCCGGCCTGGCCCCAGCACAGCCTAACCCACACCACACCACATCATTCCACAACACGAACCACCATATCACACCGCACCACCACATATCACCACATCACACCACACTACATCAACAACAAAAAACAAATGACCTGTGTAAAGCGCCTTTCACGTCGTGAGGACGTCCCAAGGCACTGGACAGACAGAGTTTCAGACCCAAGCTGGGGATCGTGGTCAGGGAGGGTGGAGGGCAGGGGGGCAAACAGGGAGATCGAAAGCACAGTCGAAGAGGAGGGACTTAAGATGGGTCGTGAGGGAGGCAAGGGAGAGGGCGAGGCAGAGGGACTGCGGGATGAGTTCCAGAGGGTAGGGGCAGAGTGGCAGAAAGCCAGCCCGCCAATAGTGGGGCGACTGAGGCGGGGGACGTGAAGCAACAACAACAACAAAATTACACTTATAGAGCGCCTTTTACGTCGGGAGGACGTCCCAAAGCGCTGAACAGTCAGGTGTCGGGGCCTGAGCATGGGGGAGGGGTGGTGTAGGGGTAAGGGAAGGTAGGGAGGTGGGAGGGAGACCAAAGGCATGGTCGAACAGAACAGCCTTGAAGGAGGTGAGGGAGGAAGCGAGGTGAAGGGACCGTGGGATGGAGTTCCAGAGTGTGGGGGCAGAGAGGCTGAAAGCCCGGCCACCGATGGTAGCGCGGGTCAGGCGGGAGACATGGAGCAGCCGGAGCCCGATGAACGGAGGGAGGAGGCAGGTTGGTAGGGAGTCAGCAGGTCAGAGAGGTTGGGGGGAGCGAGGCCATGGATGGCTTTAAAGGTGAGGACGGGGATCTTGAACTGTATCCTCTGTGTGATGGGAAACCAGTGGAGTCGGGCGAGGATGGGGGTGATAGGGTCACGGAGCCCGGTGGGGGTGATAGGGTCACGGAGCCCGGTGGGGAGAGGACACGGGCTGCAGAGTTCTGGATGATCTGCCGTCTGTGGAGGGAGGAGTTGGGGGCCGACAAGCAGGGAGTTTGCATAGTTGAACCTCGATGTAATGAAAGTGCGTGAAGGTCTTGGGGGCTGCGGTGTGAGACAGTGGCGGAGCCGGGGGATGTTGCGGAGGTGGGGAAGGCAGAGCGGGTCATGGCACAGATGTGGGGTAGAAAGGATAGTTGAGGGTCAAACAAGACCCCAAGGTTCGGGACTGGCTCAGTGAGGGGGAGTGAGCCCCATGGATGGTGATGCTGTCAGCGCCTGAGGTGAGGAGGCGCTGACGGGAGTCAATCAGGAGCCTCGGTCTTGTTGACGTTCACTGAAGAAAGTTCGCTCTCATCCAGGACTTGACGTCTGACAGACATTCTGTCAGGACAGCAGTGGGTCCTGGAGTCGAGGGCGGAGGCAGAGAGTGAGAGTTGGGTGTCATACATGTGGAAGTTGACCCCATGTCTGGGGATGAAGTCACCAAGAGGAGCATATAGATATTGAAGAGGAGGAGACAAGGACAGAGCCCTGAGGAACGCCGCACAAGACGGTGGGGGGGCTGGAGGAGGAGCTGTTTGTGGAAATGAAGTGGAGGCGGTGTATGAGGCACAATCTGAACCATTCAAGGGCAGAAGCATGTAGGAGATCACATCACACCACAACATACAAACCACCACAACACCACATCGCACAACACCACATCACACCACAAAACCAACACAGGGAGCTCAGCGTCAGCCTGGACACACAGCCAAAATGTCAAAACACAACACACTGTAAAGTGTAGTGACTGTCTTCTGTGGGTGAACGTGTCAGCTGGTTTGCATACAGCAAGTTCCCACAAACAGCCATGAGGTGAGCGAGTGACTGTATCTGGGGATTGTCGGCCCCGACACCGGGAGAGAGAGAGAGAGAGAAACTCCCTTCTCTTAACGTCCACCTGAACAGAGCACAGACGGGGAGTGAGGTTTAACGTCTTATCTGAAGGACGACGTCTCTGACAATGGTCTCTCTCTCTCTCTCCCCCCGGCGCTGGGCTGGAGCCTCAGCCTGGACTGTGAGCTCAGAGACCCCGACGTGGAGCTCAAACCCACAAGACTCTGACCAGGAGGTGAGAGTGTGAGCGACTGAGCCAGGCTGAAGCAGATTGTGGCTGATGCCTGCTGTCTATTCAGAGGATTATCTCTATTGATTCCTAACAGACAAGACTAATGGGATCAGCCACTGAACCTGCCAGTTACTGTGGCTTGAAGACAGCCTCTGAAACACCTCCCGCCTCTCAGGGCAAAACAGTGTCCTGTAAAGACATTAAACCCAATGGAGTCAGACAGGGACAGCCCGGGAGGTCGTTTGGTGACACGTCAGGGTCTCTGAGCTCACAATCCAGGCTGTCGCTCCAGCCCAGCGCCGGGGGGGAGAGAGAGAGACCATTGTCAGAGACGCCGTCCTTCAGATGAGACGTTAAACCTCACTCCCTGTCTGTGCCCTGTTCAGGCGGACGTTAAAGATCCCGCGAGGCTGTCGGGAAAAGAGAAGGGAGTTTCTCTCTCTCTCTCCCGGTGTCCTGGCCATTGTGATAGCTCTCCGTTCGGTCCCATTCCCTGCCTGTCCTCCCCACACACACGTTTAGATTCTTCCTTTGCAAGTATTTATCCCAATATTCATTTAGAAATAATTACAGGTTCTAACCACAGCTTCTGGTCAGGTTTTCCAGATCCTGATAATAATAATAATAATCCTTACATTTGATACAGCATCTTTTACACCAGGAAGACGTCTCAAAGCGCTTCACAGGATAAACTGTAAAGTATAGTGACTGTGTATTTTGCGAGTGAAACGCAGCAGCCAATTGTGCCCAGCCATGGCTGTTCATCCGGGAACAGCCATTGAATGAGTGACCAATATTATTTGGGGGATTATTAGCCAAGATACCGGGAGAGAGAGAGAAACACCCTTTTCTTTTCCAATAGCCCCGCGGGATCTTTAACATCCACCTGAACAGGCAGACGGGACCTCGGTTTAACATCTCATCCAAAGGACGATACCTTGGACAACGCAACACCCCATCAGAACTCCATTGGAGCATCAGCTTAGACTATGTGATTCCAAGTCCCGACATGGAGCTTGAATCCACAACCTTTTGACTTAGAAGCGAGGGGGCTACCACTGAGCCAGGCTGATATCCCTTTGTGTAAAACACACACATTCTCCTAACCTCTCCCTTCTTGTTTTAGTGATGATCTTAAATCCATGATTTCAGTTATCAGTGCAAATAGTTTCCATTTCCATTTTTCACCTGTCAAAACCCCTCATCATTCTGAAGACCTCCAGCAGGAGGTCAACCTTTCTGTCCCAGTGGCAACAATCCCAGTTTCATCAGTCACTATTTATCTGGCGATTGTGGCCGAGACTTCCTTTTCCAACAGTTTCCAAAATTATTATTATTTTTAAGGGAATATTCCCCTAGGAAAAGTGATCCACCAATCAACTAACAACCGGGTTCCATTTACTGCTGGGTAAACAGAGGCGTCTGGAGTAAGGAACTTGCCCAATGTTTCACCCTGCCTGGGAATCAAACCCAAATCCTTTTGCTTGCGAGGCAAGGGCTGCAACCAGTGAGCTACAGGACTCCGATAAGGAAGCCTGTGTGCGAGGGCCAGAGCCCGGGTGAGCACCTACCTGCAGTGGTCCTGGCCGGGCTTGACCAGGCCCTGCACCGAGTCCTCCCACACGCTATTGGCGACGGAGTTGCCGATGGCCGTCATCACCATGATGAGCTCTACAGGCCAGTCATCCAGGTCCAGCGAGCGCACCCTCGACAGGTGTGTGCCCAGGTTTCGGTGAATTCCAGAACATTCTATACAGATCAGGGCTCCGAGGTTTAAACTTGCCCAGTCGGGGTCTGTCAGAAAGCAAAACATTCACTTATTAATCTCTAGTGATGAATTTGATACAGCGCCTGCAACATCAAAAAATCTCAATAATAATAATAATAATCCTTGCATTTGATATAGCGCTTTTCACGTCGGGAGGACGTCCCAAAGCGCTTCACAGAACACACTGTAAAGTGAATTGACTGTATATTTGTGGGCGAACGCGGCAGCCAATTGCGCACAGCAATGTCCCACAAACAGTCGTAGATTGAAACTGACCAATTTATTATTGTTTTTGGTTTTGGAGGATTATTATTAGGCTCTGTGTGGAGTAAGGAAACTTGCCCAAGGTTTCGCCCTCTGCCTGGAATTGAACTCAGGTCTCTCGCTTGCAAAGCGAGTGCTCTAACAACTGACCTACAGGACTTCACAAAATCCCTCCAATAAAAAAAATGGACATTGAATCGACACTGCCCCTTTTCACCCACAAAATATACAGTCAATTCCCTTCACAGAATATCCTCAGTGTGGTGACTGTATTTTTTAGGCAAACATGGTGGACAATTCCCCCAAACCCAAACTTAGATTTTGATTATCAGAGAGTGTACAGCACGGAAACAGGACCCTTGGCCAACTAGTCCCTGCCAGTGTTTATACGCCACACAAGTCTCCACCCGTTCCCTCCCATTCCCTTCTATTCCAGAGGTGTGAGGAGTCAGGAAACTTGCCTCATAATAATTCTTGCATTTGGTACAGAGGCTTATCACATCTTTGAGGAATCTCAAAGCGCTTCACAGAATATACTGTAAAGTGAATTTATACTGTATTGGTAAAATACGGCAGCAAATTGCATGCAGCAGTGTCCACAAGCAATTGTCGATTGAGTGCCCACATTTAAAAAAAATTTTTTTTGTTTCTTTTCAAGGGATTATTACCCCCGGAAAAGCGATCTGCCAATCGATCAATCGCCAATCGGTTTGTATTTATTAGTAGGTAAACAGAGATGTGTGGAGTAAGGAAATGTGCTAATGTTTCGCCCTGCCCAGGAATCAAACCCAGGTCTTCTGGCTTGTGAGCGCTCAAACCACTGCCCCAGGGGAGGGCAGGACCTGCCCTGTTGCCCACATACTCACTGGGCGAGTCGCAGTCCACACAGAAGGCGTTCCCTCGTACGTTGCGGATGGATTGGATGGCGATGGCATCGCTCTGACTGCCCAGCCGGGACTGGAAAACAAGAGGCGTCTCCAGTGAGCTTCATTCCCACAATGTGTACAGCACCAATCACACACATATCCAGCAGCATCCTCACCCTCACCTTTAAAGTCTTCCTCCACCCTACCTCAAACCCTACCAACCTGTCCACTCCATCCGCTCGGCGGGCACCGGCCTGCTCCACGTTCCCCACCCTGACCGCTCCACTAATGGCTGTCGGCCCTTCAGCCACTTTGTCCCCACCCTCTGGAACTCCATCCTGAAGCCCCACCACCTCGCCCCCTTCCTTGTCTCCTTCAAGACCTGTCTCAAGATCTTCGTTTTCAACCATGCCTTCAGTCACCTCCCACCACCACCTTCCCTGCCTCCCACCCCCAACCCCAACCTCGGGTGCAAATCCTTAACTGTCCAGCGTGTGTAAATGCAATTTGTTGTTGTTGTTGATGAGAAAAGTCAGGGGGTGTAGGGAAGACCAAAGGCATGGGGGCAAAAAGTAGGTTGTCAGAAAGGCTTTGAAGCCAGAGAGGCAGGGAGAGAGAGAGGGAGGGAGAGAGGGTGCGAGGGAGGGAGGGAAAGAGGGTGGAAGGGAAGCAGAAAGGGTGGGTGGGTGGGACGGAGGTAGAGGGAAGGAGGGAGAAGGAGGGAGGGAGGGAGCAAGGGAGGGAGAATGGGGGTTGGGGGAAGAATGGAGGTTTGGAGGCCAGGATGAGGATCTGGAGGTTGATGAGCAGGGGGACGAGGAGCCAGTGGAGCCGGGTGAGGATGAGAGAATGTTGGAGGTGGCTGTGATTTACATAAGAACATAACAATTAGGAGCAGGAGTAGGCCATTCGGTCCCTCTAGCCTGCCCCGCCATTCAATAAGATCATGGCTGATCTATTCTAACTCCACCTTATCCCCATATCCCTTAATCCCTTTATCTACAAGAAATCTATCAATCTCCCGGTACTTTTGTTTGGTTGGAGAGTGAGTGTGGTGAAGAGCAGCCAATGGCACCTGATTAAAGGGACAGGGAATGTAGTATTTTTATCGCTGCCTGACACAGCGCTGTGTGTATTCAGGTGCCTGTCACCCTATATAACAGCTCAGTGCTTGGTCTCCACAGCCCAGGCTGTGAGCCAGACACAAGCCAGCGGCTGCCAAATGCAGTCAATGGCACGTCTTCAAAGGGCGGCTCGTTGTTGAAAGCTGACGGCATCAGCAGCCATTTGTTCCCACTGATTAGCTCCGTCAGCCTGGCCAGTCTTGCCAGCCACTGAGGGCAGAGCAGGCTGAGGGTGGAAGAGGTTGGGGGTGGGCATGCAGGGGCATGGTAGGCTGGGGGCAGAGCAGTTTGAGGGCGGAGAAAGCTGGGGACAGAGCAGGAGCCCGCGGGGTGTGGCAGGCAGAGTGGCAGAAGTGGGGACTGATCGTGCTGGGACGGGACAGGCGTGGTGGACAGGGCAGATTGGGGGAAGTTTGGGTGCAGGGCAGCCCAGGGAATGGCAAAAGGCAGTAACAGTGTGGAGAGAGACCAGGACATTGAGGCGATGCAGGGTTGCGTGTGGAGTGGGATCAGGCTGGAAGAGCAGGCTGGGTGGGCAGGTTGGGAAGGCAGGCTGGGTGGGCAGGTTGGGAGGGCAGACTAGGAGGGCAGGCTGGGAGGGCAGGTGGGGAGGGCAGGTGGGGTGGGCAGGCTGGGAGGGCAGATTGGGAGGGCAGGTGGGGAGGGCAGGTGGGGAGGGCAGGTGGGGAGGGCAGGTTGGGTGGGCAGGTGGGGAGGGCAAGCTGGATGGGCAGGTGGGGAGGGAAGGTTGGGAGGGCAGGTGGGGACGGCAGGCTGGAGGGCAGGTTGGGAGGGCAGGTTGGGTGGGCAGGTAGGGAGGGCAGGTTGGGAGGGCAGGTTGGGAGGGCAGGTTGGGAGGGCAGGTTGGGTGGGTAGGTGGGGAGGGCAGGTTGTGAGGGCAGGTTGGGAGGGCAGGTGGGGAGGGCAGGTGGGGAGGGCAGGTTGGGAGGGCAGTCTGGGTGGACAGGTGGGGAGGGCAAGTTGGGAGGGCAGGCTGGATGGGCAGGTGGGGAGGGAAGGTTGGGAGGGCAGGTTGGGTGGGCAGGTGGGGACGGCAGGCTGGAGGGCAGGTTGGGAGGGCAGGTTGGGAGGGCAGGTGGGGAGGGCAGGTGGGGAGGGCAGGTTGGGAGGGCAGTCTGGGTGGACAGGTGGGGAGGGCAAGTTGGGAGGGCAGGCTGGATGGGCAGGTGGGGAGGGAAGGTTGGGAGGGCAGGTTGGGTGGGCAGGTGGGGACGGCAGGCTGGAGGGCAGGTTGGGAGGGCAGGTTGGGAGGCAGGTTGGGTGGGCAGGTGGGGAGGGCAGATGGGGTGGGCAGGTGGGGTGGGCAGGCTGGGAGGGCAGATTGGGAGGGCATGTTCGGAGGGCAGTCTGGGTGGGCAGGTGGGGAGGGCAAGTTGGGAGGGCAGGTGGGGAGGGCAGGTGGGGAGGGCAGGTGGGGAGGGAAGGTTGGGTGGGCAGGTGGGGAGGGCAGGCTGGGTGGGCAGGTGGGGAGGGCAGGCTGGGAAGACAGGCTGGGTGGGCAGGCTGGGTGGACAGGTTGGGAGGGCAGGCTGGGAGGGCAGGTGGGGAGGGCAGGCTGGGAGGACAGGTTGGGAGGGCAGGCTGGGAGGGCAGGTGGGGAGGGCAGGTTGGGAGGGCAGGCTGGGAAGACAGGCTGGGTGGGCAGGCTGGGTGGACAGGTTGGGAGGGCAGGCTGGGAGGACAGGTTGGGTGGGCAGGTTGGGAGGACAGGCTGGGAGGCCATTTCACACCTTGTTTTTGCTGCTCTCACAGGACTGGAGGCTGGCGAAGATCTGGCTCTCCACGGCCTGTACCCAGGTCTCCCTCTCCTCGGGGTTGGAGGCCTCAAAGTGCCATGTCTGTCCCGTCAGAGACACAATCACAAACTCGTATGACTCCTCGACTTCTGTAAAGAAAATACACAAGTCAGGGGGGAGCGAGTGATGAGCTGCCCTAACACGAGGTGGAGATCAGACCAGCAGAGACCCCAGACCCAACACAGAGCAGTCTACCCTCCCAACAGAGACCATGTTACCAGACCTGACACGGACCAGTCAGACACCACACACAGATATCACATCTCAACAACATTTACAGTGCCCTTCACTCAGTGTGGCGTCCCAGAGCGCTTAGCAGTGGCGGAGCCTGACGCCGAGCCGGAGGAGGTGACCGTAAACACGGTCGAAGGGGGAGATTCAGGATCTAGAAGAGAAGAAGGGGCGAGGCGGAGGGATTGAAGTGGGGGGGCAATTTCTGGTCAGCCACTAGAAGGATTGCTTTACACAGTGGGGAATTAACGTCTGGGAACTGGGTGACCAGGAAGGGGGTTGAGGCCGGAGCACTGCGAACTCGTTTAAGAATCAACTGGACACTGCAATGGAGGGACGGGTGGGCAGGAGATGGGATGGGCTGAAGGTTCATCTGAACCTCTCTTGTAATCTTGGGGATGAAATCCCGCTGGAAGCCTGCAGATCAAGCAGGAAAATGTGGGGCAAACTTGAAAGAGAAGAAAGGCTGTCATGTTAGATAATGTAGACCATGATAAGCTGTTTTATCTTCTACTGTAGAACCAGAGGACACGGCCTGCGATTGATTCAGAAGAAATCTGCGGAAACACTACTTCAGTGAGCGAATTAGTAAACGTATGGAACAGACTCCCTCGGGAGACGGTGGAAGCAGAAAGTGTTGATTCTTTCAAGAACAAATGAGATAGATTTCTGTTAGGAAATAATTTCGGGATACAGTATGTAGTTTGGGACACGACATATCAAGCAACTGCCAGGTGGTGGATAGACCTTGGTCTTCTTTTGCTGAGCAAATTCTTATATTCTTATAACAGCGACGAGGATCTTAATGGTTGTGTAAACGTGGGAGTCAGACATGTCTGATCGAGGCCACACTGCCCCAGGATGTCCAGGACATCTGATGGTCAGCGACATCTTAGAGCCCACAGGTCTCTGAATTCGTTATTAATAATAATATTTCTTGCATCTGATCTGATGTCAACTGTTTAAGGACACAGGAACAACGAATCTTATAGCACAGAAGGAGGCCATTCAGCCCATCATGTCTGTGCCGGCTCTTTGAAAGAACCACCAACCAGTCCCACTCCCCTGTTCTTATCCTAACTAGTCCCACTCCCTCGCTCTTACCCTATAACTGGACCAATAGAAATGTGTGGCTGCCTGAGGAAACAGTTTCTCCCAATCGACTCTATCAAAACCCCTCATTATCTGGGACTAATCTGGGATTCTCGGCCAGGACTTGTCTTTCCCTTAGCCAACAGCACCTTACCAACTCGAACTTCCATCTCCACAGGCACAGACAAGACTTTGGTTCAACGTCTCATCCGAATCACGAATCAATACAAAATTACACTTGTATACCGCCTTTCACATCAGGACAACATCCCAAGGCGCTGGACAGTCAGGGATTTGGACCCACGTCAAGCGACACACAGGGCTCACTGTACAAAACCAATACTTGACCCCAGAGTGTGCGATGGGGTAACTGCTGGGGTCTAATCAGCTAAAACCACATAGCAAGCCATTGAGAGCAGTGTCTGGCAAGCTTCCTGCTGCTTGTTCAGCAAGGACCACCCTGAGAGCTGGGGAGGGCGAGGGGAATAGAGGGGTGTGGGAGAGATGTGGTAGAGGGGTGTGGGAGAGGGGGATAGAGGGGTGCGGGAGAGGTGTGGTAGAGGGGTGTGGGAAAGGGGGATAGAGGGGTGTGGGAGAGGTGTGGTAGAGGGGTGTGGGAGAGGGGGATAGAGGGGTGTGGGAGAGGTGTGGTAGAGGGGTGTGGGAGAGGGGGATAGAGGGGTGCGGGAGAGGTGTGGTAGAGGGGTGTGGGAGAGGGGGATGGGAGAGGTGTGGTAGAGGGGAATAGAGGGGTGTGGGAGAGGGGGATAGAAGCGAGTGGGAGAGGAGAGGAGAATAGAGGGGTGTGAGTGGGGGGGAACCAGATGTGCTATACTGTGTCACTCACTCAGTGTAAGTCTACGATAGTTAAGAGGTGGATCAGGTCTCCTGTTACAGATTGAAACCTGTGCCCTTTGCGGTATTTCTCCCTGTGCACAGGTCAGTGTGCCGGGGGGAGAGCAGACTGATCAGTGAAGGCAGCTCAGGGTAGCTAACGGCTGGTCAGACAGACAGACAGACAGTCTCCAATTCACACCAAACTCATCCGTAATTAGCTAATTAGGGTTATGCAAATAACACTCATTTACATAATGCCTGATTTCCCTCAGCTCTGAAGCTGTCAGGCAATTGTCTGCTCGTAAGACAAACACATAGCTCTCTCCCAACATCCCGTACACAGAGACGGGAGAATCCTGGGATTCCGCGGCAATAAAGCAGAGAACCCCAGATAGTGACAGACACCAGCGCGATCAGGAGAATACTGCAATACGGCAGCCGGTGTCTGACACACACGGAAACCCATCACATTGTTTAACTCCAAACCCAAAGTCTCACATATGTCTGCCACCTACACATGGAAATCCCAGAGAAAGATTGTTGGAATGGAATGCACTCTCTCCCTGGAGGGACTCATCCTCCGCTTACCCAATTCTGGAAAGTATTAGGGGGAAGGATTAGGGCGCCCAGAAAGTGTGTTAAGGTAACTGCTTCCTTCACATCCCAGGAAGGAAAATTGCACCTTACATCGAAACGCCGCAAAGTGCTTCACAGTAACTATTGTCAAGTATAGTGACTGTTGCTTCTAGACAAACGGCGTTGCAATTATGCGCGCATCAAGGTCCTATAGACAACCAAGAAGTGAGAGGCTGATTAACCCGGGGGATTGTCAGCCAGGCCACCGGGAGAGAGAGAGAGAGAGAGAGAAACTCCCTTCTCTTTTCCCGACAATGGGATCTTTAACGTCCGTCTAAACAGAGCACAGACGGGGAGTGAGGTTTAACGTCTCATCTGAAGGACGGCGTCTCTGACAATGTCTCTCTCTCTCTCTCTCTCTCACCCCCAGCGCTGCACCAATTGCGCACAGCAATTTTGATCTCAACGACTAGCATTCGGGGATTGAGTGACCAAATCTGACCTGGAAGCGAGTGTGTGAGTGATGGACTGGGTGTGTGTGTGGGGAGGGTGGGGTTGGGGGGAACACCTGAATCAGTGACATGTTGTCTCTTTAAGAAGCCTCCCTCTGTTGTGTCTGAGCGATGGTAATTTTTTAGTCCATCAGTCACTGGAATGCATTTATTTCCCCCAAACCAGTTACTAACGTGGAGTTCAATAAGCTGGCTGCTCATTAGAATACCTGCTAATAATGAGAAAAGGGGACATCACCGGCTCCATCGCTTCTAATGGACGTGATTAGGGAGTGGAAATCTCTCATCTCACGCTAGATAAAGCAGTCCGCAGACGCGATGGCTTTGTGGGGCTTGCCAACACACAGCACAGCCATGGGGGGTCTTTTGTCATTACATTGCTGTTCTCCTTATTATCATTACCGTCTATTTTTGCAGCTCGGGGTACTGATGTCTGCAGGATGTGCTCATTACATCCCACACCTGGAGCATGTTGGCTCCCTCACCCCGGCCGGCAGCTCTGGAGGGAGACAGCCTCACCCAAACCCCAGCTCACCAAGAACTTTAGTGCCAACATCAGATTGGGAACTGTGGAATCCTGTAACTCAGTGGTTAGAGCCCTCGCCTCGCAGGAAAGAGGACCCGGGTTCGATTCCCGGGCAGGACAAAACCTTAGTCAAGTAACCTTACTCCACCCGTCTCTGTTTACCCCGCAGTAAGTAGGAACCTGGTTGTTAGTCGATTGGCAGATTACTTTCCGGGGATAATAATAATCCCTTCAATAAAAATAATAATTTGGTCACTCAGTCCTCGACTGTTTGTGGGACGCTGCTGTGTACAATTGGCTGCCGTGTTTCACCCACAAAATATACAGTCAATTCATTTTACAGTATATTCTGTGAAGCGCTTTGAGACGTCTCAACGACGTGATAGTGTTTTACGTGTGAACATGGCAACCAATTGGCGCAAACAACCAAGAAGTTAATGACCAATCTTATCTGGGGATTGTCGGCCAGGACACCGAGAAAGAGAGAGAAACTCCATTCTCTTTTCCCGACAGATCTCCAGGATCTTTAATGTCCACTTGAACAGGGCACAGAGGTTTAACATCAGCCACAATGCAACATACCCCCAGCACTGCTCAAAGTCCTGACGTGTGGCTTAAACCCACAACCTCCTGACTCAGAAGTGAGAGTGCTACCAACTGAGCCAGGCAGACACCAAAACATCTGCTGTGTTCTAATAAATGGGTGAAATGTTCCTATTGTGCCGAGTAATCAAATACCGTTCCCTTCTTAGCGAGTGACTCTCTTCCTCTGAATAAACAACAACAACTTGGATGTATATAGTGCCCTCCACGCTGAACAGCGTCTCAGAGCACTTTACAGTTTCGGATCCCGGGACCGAGCCAGGGGGAGGGGGGGGAGCCGGGGGAAGGTGACCAAAGGCGCGGTCGAAAAGAAAGGTCTTCAGTAGAAGAACCTCTCAACTGAAGTACGGTGCCTCTGACAATGCTGCGCTCTCTGCCCTGCAGTCACAGCCAAGACTGTGAGTCCTGCTGTGGGCAGGTGAGGCTGGGCGGTGAGTGCTGTCTCTTTGAGAAGCCTCTCTCCCCTCGTATCTGAACATTTGTAATTTTTTAGTCCAGCAGTTACAGGAATTTATTATTTCCCTGAACCAATTATTAAAGCGGAGGGAGTGACCCTCAGTGTGCTGAACACACAGCCACTCCACACAGTTACACAGCGAGTGACTCACTGCTGGTAAACAGAGACGTGTGGAATAAGGAAACTTGCCCAACGTTTCATCCTGGCTGGGAATCACACCCGGGTCCTCTCGCTTGCGAGGCGAGTGCTCTAACC